AATAAAGCAATCTAGTGGTATTCCCGGCCCTTGCCTTAGTAAGAGGAGCAGTGAAACTGTAAATAGTTGATGTTCAGTATTTGCAAGTAAACATTTTTTTCTGTAGTTGTTCATTGATCTCAAGACACACACTTAGTTTGCAAGTACCAGATATCAGGATTTACAGAAGCGCAGCATTAGAGTATTTGGATGCTTGATACTGGAAAAATCAACATCGTCTTGGACACAGTTTTAATGGGAGAGGTTTGGGTGTAGGGGTGGCAAGAACCTTTTGCTATTTTTGTCAGACAAAATTTGTAATCCTAATGAAGACGTGTTCTATTTCAGTGAAAACAGTTGACATTTCATATTTTTTTTTCTAATCAGAAAAATGCATGAAGACTTTACAGTGTTGTTTATTTTAATCACCAGTAATGTTCTGCCTATTTGTTCTGTATTTTTGTTTCCCATTTCTATTGGGGATCGGTTGACTTGAAGAACTTCAATCCACTTTATTAAATATCGCCTCGCACCAGAAGGAGCAGTTCAGTACGTGGTTTTAGTTGCCCAGTAGCGTTAACTGCCATGAATTGTGTCACACAGTCCATGTCAAAAAATGTTTGCAAAAGAAGAGGTGATCTTTGATAGTACGTAGTGAGTTCTGCACTATTTACTTGTTAATCAATAGCTCTCTGGTGACGGTTTTGTTGAGACCTGCAGAATCTGAGCAATAGTAGGTAGTTGTGAAAAATAACTTGCATCTATGGATTTGGGATGGAATGAAGTTTCCAGTGCAAAATGTAACTTGTCTTGAGTAACACTGAATCGTTTGATGTGAAATTCATAAAATCAAGCAGGGGGGAGCCAACTATGCAGCATATTTCTGTCAAGTTATCAAACTTAAAATTCACTTGTTGAACCAAAACTGCATTGCTTCTGAAACTTAACAAAGCTGATCCAGACCAACAGCAGATCAGACCAACTTAATCTGACATAGGTAGAATAAATGGGAATTTTGTCTTGGCCCTAAACATGTGCTGTTTCTTTGCAGGTTTCTGTATTCTTTGATGTCCACCAGATTTTATTTTTTTTCAATTAATGTGTAAAACAGCATCACTACATTTTAAGCTATGGATTTTTTTGTATATTCTTTATTTATAACTGTGCCAAGTATTATTTTAATACTGTCGAGATCTTGATGTATTACATTGTGAACAAAAGAAATCTGTAAAATGTTTAATAAATTAGCTCTCCTTACATAAATTAAATCTGTTAAATTTTGTAAGTTATTAATCAAATAAATATTGACTCTTAGATGCAGTGTTTGTCTTGACTTGGGATGTGATTTCACACAGTGTTGTTTCTGTCCAATTTCAGAAGCTGTGCCTTGAGAAAATAGCTGCTGTCTGGCATCTTACTTTAGTAAAGTCTGTTTCCAGAAAGGTTTACAGGTGCCTTAAAGAGAGCACGCACCCAGTTCTGTGCTGATGCAAAATCCCATAAACAGCTTCTTTACTGGGTTTTGGTAAAGTATACCTTTTCTACTACCAGTAGTAGTCACTAATTAGGTACTCCTTTCTTTTGAGTAAAGATGGTGGCAAGATAACATTTCTTAGGGGAGAATGGCTTTTAGAGATCATGTGGCCAAATGTACATATTTAGTGATAATGACATTTGGTGTATTCTAAGGATAAACGGAACATCCACATAGGGCTAGTAGGTGTGACCAAGACGTGTGCTTCTAGGTGGCACTTGGCAGGAGACAGAATACCTTGACTCTTCTGGTCTCTGCTAAAGTTGGATTTTGAGTAGAAACAAGAAAGCATCCAAGCTGGAATTTAGTCAGGACATTTATAACCAGCAATATGTATTAAAAGTATAAGGCCAAGACTAAAGAGAACACCTAATGAGGAGAAAAAAAAGTCTGTGTTTTCTGCTGGGTGTGGGTTGAATGATGACATCGATTGAGAATTGTTGCTGCTGTTCTTCCCCACGCAATGGTTCTGCTGAGGCTGGGCCCAGGCTGGCCTCTGCTGACCACCCTTTGGCTTGTCTGGTAAAGATCAGGGAAGGTTCTTTCTTTTTTTAGAACAGACATTCTGTACTGAAGGTCTCCATCAGAGATTTGCAGAGCTCCATCACAGTGGTTGTTGCTCTTGGGAGGTATGGGTGGGCTCCTGATGACTTGAAAGCTGGTTATTTGGTTTATTTTATTTGGGAAGAAGCCTGCCCTCTGCACCCTCATTATGGCTTGATTAGAGTTCACTCCCTTGCACCTCCCACAAGCAGTGAAATCAGATTTTTTTGCTGTGAAAGCAGAATGCTTGCATTTGGGTTTTATCCACTTTAGGCTACTGAATAGAGACCAGTAAAAATTGCATCAATTCCAGGTTGAATTTATTTATATTATCTTATAAACTTAGTTCCCTGTTCACATTGCCTCCAGTCCTACCTACTACTTAAGATCTCCAGATCATGAAGTCAAAGTACTTTTAAAAACCTGTCTCTCCTGGAAGTAGGGCTGCAAATGGAGACTGACTCCAAGCGTTACTCCAGCCTGGGCTCAGCATTTATTCGTCGGGTGTTCTGCTGCTGCTGAGAAGTTGACAGTAACCAAGTAAAAAGTACCTTCAGTGTAGGGTACTCATTTCTCTTGACAGATGTATTGTCTTTATGGTTACAAGTTTTCTTTTTTTCCTTCATTTCTTCATCATTCTGTGGTTAATTTATAGAACTTGGGCTGTAGAGCTGTGAGCTATTGGTATGACCCCTCTAGGAACTGAAAGGAAAGCCTGTGATTTTTAGTGGTTTAAATGACTTCTGATTATTTCTTCTGTTCATTTTTCTAAGAACTGAAAGATACTTTTTTATAGGTAATTGAACAATATGTTAGATGCCCATTTTTGTCAGCATAAATTAATTGTCTCTGCTAGTGTGGGGGCTTTAGATCCACTCCAGTAGCTACATCAACTAACGGGGAGCAGTTTCATTTGCTCAGTAGTGTATTAAGGGCGTTATTTTGGTTTCTGTCTATGGAACAGTGCTGCTCAGCATTTTATAACGCCATTCCTGAGAAGAAGCAGCACTTCCATCAGGCAACAAGGCTATGGAAAGGGCATATTGTCGTCCGTTTCACGTCCTTGTGTCTGCAGGGGCCTGGATACTGCTTCTGAGTTAGGGCTGTCCTTGTTCAGACTGGAACGGATCAACCCTTCCTGCACAACTGTCAAGTTGGGAAAGGAGAAAAGTACTTTGGGGGTTTTTTTAGGACCAAAGCTTTCTGCCCACATTTCCTGGGCTGTACTGTTGCTGTCTCACCCCCACCCCAAATGTCTGCTGCTTCTGGCTTACTGGTGTCTTTTTCAGTTGCAGTCTTTCCCTCTCTGTGAACTGTACAAGCTCTTGGCTCACATTCTGAGCTGGCTGGCTGTTCTTCCTCATATCCACATTGTTCCTTTGTAACCTGTACAAAATGCTCTTTGTGTATTATTTTGACTAGTACATATTTTTCTAATTAGGCTTTTGGCTTGGGCTGCTTCTCTACCTCAGACCGCAGTCGTAGATGTTGCTTGAAGCTCTGCCACAGACTGTGCTGACACACTTGCTTACTATTTTACTGTAGTGTTCCCAGTCTTGTCTTGAAAGTTTCTCCGTAAATTACTCTGTGAAGGTTCCCACTCCCAAGGTATCAGCCTGCTTCCCAAACCAAGGTTTCAAATCTTTTCTTTAGCTAACTTCTATTGGGCATGATGGGAGTCACAACTGAACCTCCTCCCTCCACCCCAGAACATTATGTGGGTTGTAGCGACCAGGATGGAGCTTGTGCCTCCCCACAGATGTGGTTGGCCTCTAGTGAAGCCGTTGCTGTGCAACAGCTTGGCCTTCACTGGAAGGGATGGAAAGAAACGCCTACAAGTTCCTGTTGCTTGCTGGAGCTCAGGCATGCTCCCATGAGGCACAATTCCTGCTTTTAAGGAATCAATACCCAGATCCAATACCCAGATTTTAAGGTGTCAATACCCAGATCTCACGTGCCTCCTCCTTAACTGTAGGCAAGAGCAAGCCATAAGCTTTGCAAAAGGAGCTTGGTAGAGAAGCCTTAGCACACTGGTGAAGATCTGCTTCCAGGTGCTCAAGAAATTTGGGACTAGATTTAAAAATCAACAAGTTGCTAAGCTGTTCCTACTAAATACTGGTTACTTCCATAAAAACAGGGCAGCTTGCCTCAAACTGGATTATTTTTGTATCACAGTTTTAGGCTTACATACTTCATTCTCACCTAAGGCCTTTATGGTGGGCTGGTCCTGGGTCTGCTGTTGAGGAGCGGTGACTCCCATTTGCTTCTCAGGAAGTGCAATTATTGCAGGTGCTCTCAGCTCAGGCCTCGCGGGCTCGTGGTGGGAGCTGCTCCAGCCACCAAAAGAAGCCAAGCTCTTCTGTAAAGCTTTCCACTCAAGACCTGGCTAAGGCAAAAGTAATTGTCTCCTAGTCAAAGACCTTTAGGAACAGAACCACTGTTAATTAAGTCACATTAGCAGAGGCAAGGATCCTGACCTCAATACCAAAATATTACAGTGAAAAAAGTTTGATTTCCATTCACTAGAGGCTCTATAGCAGAGACAGCCATTAAGGCACACAGCAGGGTTGCCCAGAGCACATTACTCAGGACTGCATCCAGGTGGGTTTGAAGATCTCCAGAGAAGGGGACTCCATGAGCCTGTTCCAGTGCTCTGTCACCCTCACTGTAAAGACGTTTTTCCTCATATTTGAGTGGAACCTCTTATGTTCCAGCTTCTGCCCGTTGCCCCTCGTCCTGTCACTGGGAACCACTGCAAAGAGTCTGGCTCCATCCTCCTTCAACCCACCCTTTAGATACTTGTAAGCATTAATAAGGTCCAGCTTTCAGAGAAGGTCTGCACCAAGCCTATCATTGTATCTCCAGCCCTGCTCACCTGAAGTACCCCTTCAGTACCTGAAGTACTTACCTTTTTATTGCTGACAAAGAGTGTAACACTTGGCTGTAGGATATATCAACAAGCAAAGCTTTATTGAATTGATACTGGGTATTAGAAGTGTTACAGTGTGATACACAAAGCAAGGAAAAAAGCAGTGCTTATTAAAAAAAAAAAAAAACAACAATAAAACAAATCCATCTGCTGAGTGTATGGCCCAAGCACTGCAGTAACTAGTATCTGTTTCACAGTAGTTAGTAACATGTAGGAAACTCTTCTTTCTTGTAGCAGGATCTCAGCAGAGCCGTACGGGGTTTAGGGCCGTGCCCCCTCACTGGGCATGGACGAGGGCGCCCGCTCCCTGGCCGTACCCAAATCCCTTGGGGCCAAAGTTCTTGGCATAACAACCTGTGAGAGAGACAAACGGGGTAGCGGCTGAGGCTTCCAGCTCGTTAATTAAGAACAGCACTGTCTAGGCTAAGCCCCTCGGCCGCATCCCGTTAATCACCTGAACATCCTCATCGGAAGCAACACCTAAAACCCTTTTGTTAAGCTGCGTAAGTGCCAGGACTGAACTTAGTTCTGCCTGATGGAGACGTAAGCTACACCAGCAGCTTCAGTAATACTAATTTATTCTTCAGCTCTATTGCTATGACTTATAGACCGTTTCCATCTTGAGAGGAGCCTGAAAGTTTCTCATACCAGGAATAAATCCAGCACCTGCCCTTGTAACACATTACCTTAAACCATAAACAAATTACCTTTGTTTCTTTTCTCACCTTTACAATAGATTTCTCCCTCTTTTTCAGTTAGGGTTGTAGATTCTAGGCTTTTTCCACACTTGGCACATCGGAAGCAGTTTTTGTGCCATGGCTAGGGAAAAAAAAAAAAAAGGAAAAAAAAAAAGAGATGGTTTAAATACATGGAATGCCTGAGTCGGTAAAAAAAATGCAGTACCTGGAGATGCCTGCATCAATATTGTTTGTGGATGACTGGTACAAGTGAACCCAGTTCAAGGGCACCAGTAGGAGATGAGAGCGTTTCTGTGAGTGGCCCAAAGCCCTGGGTTCATAGAATCATAGAATGGTTTGGGTTGGAAGGGACCTTAAAGATCATCTAGTTCCAACCCCCCTGTCATGGGCAGGGGCACCTCCCACTAGAGCAGGTTGCTCAAAGCCCCATCCAGCCTGGCCTTGAGCACTTCCAGGGAAGGCAGATTCCACACATCTTCCTGCTCAGGGCAGCATTTTGAAATTTTGGGGCTTGCTCTAATCAATTCAGAGCAGAACTTGGCTCTCTGTAGCGAGGCCGGCAGCTGGCAGGGAAGTGCAATTTTAAGGTAACTCTGCCCTTCAGTTCATTCCCTCCCGGAACCCATATAACATCCCTGGCTCACTTTAAAGTCCACGTAGCGGGTACAAAATGCCATGCAGTTCCTTACCTTTCCAGCTCCTATTACTTTCTCGGCCGCATAAACAGAATCACCACACCTGGAGCACTTCTCTGCCCCACCGAACTTCTGAGCGAACTTGGAAGTGTTGGGATTTGTGGTGGGTCGGTGGGGAGAGGGCGTGCTGGAAGAAAACGGGACATTTGTTGTCTTCACTCTTTTACTAAATGGCCTCTTGCTCTCCTTAACCACGCGAACAGATCAGCACCCAACACACAGCACAGAATAAAGTACTTTTTCAAAACCAGAGAGGTAGGTTATGAGCAGGGATAACTGGTTACACTTGGTAGGAAAAAAAATGAGAAAGGCCATGCTTCAATGGATAACAAGAAGCTACTGTAAAAGCTAGTGTTCTGAGAAGCCTTCACCTTTTCACTTCTAGAGGAGTGCTGAATTCTGTATCAGGACATGGTTTTATCAGATAGTAAAGCTACAAATAATTCTTTCAAATTCCTGTCCACTGATCGTAATCTGGAACCTGAACTGATCACTGAAGCTCACGGATTGAATGATTTATCAGTTCTGGCTATGCCCTGGCTGGAGAGCATACATCATATAAACGTCAAGCAATAATTTGGGAACTTGCATGAAGCAAGCTGTGAGGCATACCTCAGCTTCTTTCCACATGCTTCGCTTTACAGCTAGAACTTCATCAGACGAGGAATGTTGACTATTTAATAGGACTTTTGGTTTGGGCTATAATTAAGCACAAATGGTTCTTCATTTGCCGGTTAAAGTTTCATTCAACTTGTAGCCCCAGATTCTCAGCTCTCCAAATCCTTCCCTGCCAGAACCTGGTGAACATTTGCACTTGTGGCTTATTTAGGAGACTGGCTTGAGACCCAGAGTCACCTCTGTGGGCTCGTGCATCCAGCCCCCTATGGCTTATGCGTAGGGTTAGTGGATCTTTACATTAGCTCCTGCCCATATGTTGCCTGCTTGCATAGTCACCAGTGGGAGTTTGCACTGCAGGCTAAACGCTCTCCGTTTGGCTATACTGTGGTATTTTGCAGCATTTCTGTTCCAAACAACATGAATTAAGCAAAATCCAGCCTGAAGGGCTCCTCTGAAAATGGTAATGGCTGGTCAGACAAGGACAAGGGTCTCTCACCTCTCAGGCTTGATGCCAAGTCTCTCTCCCCGGTCCATGTTGAGCGTGCCAGCCCCCTGGCCATACCCGTAGCCTTTTGGGCCATACTTTTTGCCGTAGCAAGATTTGCAGTAAACTTCAGCGTCGTGAATGGCTACAGTTGTGCTGTCCAAGTTTTTCCGGCAGACCACTGGAGGGAAAAAAAAAAAAAAATTTAAATTGCCTTAAGGGACCATTTTCATCAGCACATATAGTAAGCCAAAAAATCAAGTGAGAAGTGATGTTACGGGTTTCCTTGTCCATGATTCTTAGCCTATTAGGCTAAGAACTTAGGAACTGCCAGAGATTAGAGGGGGCAGGTTGCTGTTTGAATTAGTGAATTATGCTTAGCTCTATGAAGGACTCCATTCCCTCCCACCTCTTCATGACCATGACATTTAAAGCTGGGAAACTTAATGTGGTTTGATGAATGAGGCTGCTCAGAAACCCAGCTAGTGGAGTCAGCAGTCTCCCTTGACAGATGCCATACAGCATGAAGCAGAAGTCCGTCGGTGCACAAGAGCCCCTCTGCTGCCCTTTTGGACAGGGTGGGGCAGGGAAAAACAAATTCTTAAAGGTTTTCCCCCACCTCAGCAGTGGTTTGGGGCAGAGTTGGGGCTGTGTCGCAGCTGTCACCAGAGGGGCCGTGCTTTTCTGGCATTCCTACATTGTCCTTCAACACAATGCAGGCTCTCTGCTCAAGGTTACAGTAGAAGGCAGAACTATTTCCTTCTTAAACCTTCTTTTGTATCCCAACTGGCGTGTTCTTTCCGTCTGCAACAGCATTACGCCCATGATAAACAATTTGGGGAGGGGAAAAAAAAAAATAAAAAAGCTTTATGAATTTTCTGTTTGAGAAGAATTTCAAGGTCTTCAAAATACAGAGTGACCTTTGCTTATGGCATTCATTAGCTCCAAGGTTCTTTTTATAAGACACAGATATCCAATAAGTAAATCGACTAATGCATGTTTGTTAAGTCTACAGCCTTTAACCCCAACAGAACTATGCACTAAGGAAAAGCAAATACTCAGACACACTAGAGCCATTGTTTGACTGTAAGTTCCACGTTTCTTTTAATAGAAACTCCCATAAAAGGCTGAAAATGAGGCAGCCGAGACATCTAATCTTGTGTGTGTGTGTGTGACTGCTGTAGAGCTAAGTGGAAGGAGCGTAGGTGTGCCGAGGCTCACAGGCCAGCACAGTGCACTGATGGGATGCTGCAGACTCAGCAAACTGGTCTGAGAGGGGCCAGTAGAACTGTGGCTTAGATAAAGAGGGCTAAAGCTCTGCCCGTAGGTACGAAACACCAGCAAGTGGGACAAAAACGATACCTTATGTTTCGTAATAGGGTAAAATTCTCCAATTCAGACAGACGGGCTGTTTGTCTGCAAAGTAGGAGCCTCCGATTCACAGTGACCCTTTGTTCCCTTCATCTAAGCAGAGGTCTTTTCAGCAGAGAAAGCGATTTTCAATGCCTCGCTGGGCTTGTTGGTTGGACTGGAAAATAATGCTTTGGACTCCTTTCATCCGAAATAAACCACAGACCCCTGTGCCAAGAAAGTCTAGGCTTTTGGCTGTGCTAAAGCATCAACAACTCGGCCCTGCTACAGGCACGTTGGTGTCCCAGACCATGTGGGACTTCAGGGCAGGGGTTTGATGGCTGTTCCTTCAGCTGCTGCCAACCCCAGGACCACCAGGAGAAGTCAGTGCAAACAGGGCTTTGCTGTTGGGCTTTCTCCTCTGCACGAGCAACACTTAAGCTGGGTTTCCATCCTAAAGATCCCTTAGACTCCTGAGGAGAAGGCTGGGAGGGGGGCAAACGGAAGAGAAAAAGCATGATGTGCTCTGCTTTGGGAGGTGCATCCCACCCATCTCACGCTGGACGGGTAGGGCAACATCTCTCCAGGAGACACCTTTGGCACCTTCAGGCGCAGGAAGCACACAGAGAAGTCAAGCCCAACACGTGATGGACAAGCCATCTCTGTCCCTGTACACCCCAGCTGAGTGCGGGACGTCTCCTGTGGACCAGCACCGTGCTGTTGTGAGACCCCCAGCTCCACCAGGAGAGGTTTTGCAGGGGAGTGGGAGGGAAGTACTTACTGCAGAGGAAGCAGCACCGGTGGAAGCTCCTCCCGTCGCACTGCACCTCCTCGGCGTGGTAGACGGTGCGACCGCAGGCCCCGCATTTGTTTCCTCCTCCCCAGTTCGGCATGGTGGCTCTGCAGGCGGGAGAGGAGAAGGGGAGAGGTTTGGTACCCACCGTGTCCTCCATCGCCCCGGCTGGAGGAGGGTTGGGGTCACAGGCTCCTTTAAACCAGGCCTGGGAAGCCTGTGTAACGGAGCACAAGCCTGCGATTTCGCCAACTGTTTAAAAACGTGACCTTCCACCATGCGGGAAGCTTTTTGTGATCAGAGCTTTTGTACCCAGCCCTCCAGATCCCAGAGCAGGCTCAGAGGCCGGGGCGGGCTCTGCACGGCTGCTGTAGGAGCAGATGGACTGGCACGGGGAACAGAGCCCGCTGCCGCCCAACAGCAGGGAAAACAGAGACATGGTCTTCACGAGACGTGTCCTCCCGGCCCTGCCCGGGGTTTTGAAAGTTACATAAATTGGATACGCACAAATTACAGTTTCATGCACAAGGGCTTTACTGTACCTTGAGCGAATGCCCCCCCAGATGGATATGATTTCAGTTTCTATGCTTCATTAACGCTGGGCCTCTTGTCTGATGGAGGCAAACCAATTGTGCCAACAATGGCATTTTGTTTTACTGCAGGGCCTATCATTTGGGACGCAGTACAAGCCAAAGTTTGCCTCGCTGGAGAACCACTTATTAGGGCTATAGGGACATTTTGAACTCCTTGAGATCCTGCCTGCACTTCAAAGATTATTTCCCGGGGACTCCACTGCTATTATATGAACCGTACCTTTACCAGACAGCTATATGAACCAAACCCAACTGTTCAAGGAGCCACAGCTGCTTTAAAATAAAGCAAAACTCCCTCTCATGCACTACTTGCAATCGACACGCAGAAGACCAGCAGGGAGGGACAGGTTAGACCCATCAGGTCTAACTACAGCCTTGAGAATAGTCTCCTATGTTAGGTCTGAAGCAGCAACTGCCCCTTCTCAACCTGAGCTGCTCCCTCCCCACCTGCCCTGCCCTCATGCCGCCACTGCCACCACCACCACCACCAGTTCCCATACAGCTCAACTGGGAGCTCCTCCCATTAACCCTCCTGGATTAAAGCACCAAAGCAGAGCACTGCCCACCACCTTCTGCTTGTATGGGGCTTTCCTCCTTCTGTCACCACCAAGTGCCAACACGGCGGTCTTTGCTGAAGGCTCATCTCCAAGTCATTGCAAACCTTGCTGAAGGCTCATCTCCAAGTCATTGCAAACCTGCCCTCAACTCACAACCGTTGCTTAATGCTGGTTTGCTCACCGCCAGCAGACCACCTCTGGTAAATACAGAGCCCAACAGCAGCCAGAGGGAGGGTTATCGATTCAGTCAGTCTCACTCAGTGGTGCTGCTCAAGCCTCACCACCCCCCTTGCTCCTTACCAAGCCTTGTTTCAGAAAGGGTTTCCGGGCGAGGACCATGGGTTTACCCACTGGAAGGCCAGAGGTCACCTCCTGCCACCCTACCCCACCAGTAGCACCATTCTCCCCCAAGCAGGCTCCCCACAGCAGCGCTGCAGTACGGGTCAGCTATCAGGGAGGGAAGGAAGGAATTTTCCAGGAGCTTCTGACTTCTCATGGCACAACTCACCCCCAGTTACCCTTAGAAGCTCTCCTACGTCAGCCAGACAGGGGGAAGAGACACGCAACAGCATCCCCACACAACACCCACAACCTGCTGCTTTGCTGCTTGTCCCTCTGAGCCAGAAGCAGAGGACTAACAACCTCCAGTTGTCCAGGACAACCTCCTGACTGTCCTGGCCAACAGAGAAGAACTGGAAGCACTGCTGTGACACAGGGAGGAGCACTTCCCTTCAAGATCCCCTTCCTCTAAGGGGCTCCCACCGATGTGCGGGAGAGACCTCAGTGCAGAGCGAAGGGTCTCGTGGGTGCCCCCAGGCAAGCTAGAGCAGACTCACAAATCCCACCTCCGAGCTGTGGTTTTGGCTAAGGCAGAATTCAGTGACCCACCTTGTTAGTACAAGCCTCCTGCCCAAGCAGCCGGAGCCCTAGTTCATCAGTTTTATGGATGCAGGGAAGGTTGCACCGTTCCCAAGCCAGACACGCTGCCAAGGAGCTGCTCCAAGACCTTTGTCCGAGACAAGCAGACAGCCATTCATGCCATGTGGGAAAATAAGATTAGTTTATTAACCTAAATTGGGGCATCTTAGGTACATTCCTAAGCAGAGGCTTAGGAAATTTCCTCGCAGTGGCTGAGCAGTGCCATTTGCACACTGACACTAATTACTGAGATAGCCCTTTGTTTAATACTTCCACGGGATTAGCACCATTACTGCTCCATGGTTTAGCACTAATACCCTGACCAAGCTCATAAAATTAGTTTTATGACATTTCCCACTTTGCCTTTGTCATTCTTGGCACAACCGTAGAGTCTAAAAATTAAGATTCCATTTCTTTTATTCAAGTGCTTGGCTCTGCTACCGCACAGCAGCTGACATCAATCATGGCAACGAGTGTCCTTAGTTAAAGGGAATATAGGCTGCACAAAGCTTTGGAACTTGTTAGTACGGACTGGAAAAAAAAAAAAGAAAAAAAAAAAGAGAAAAAAAAAAAAAAAGAAGAGATTCCTTTCCACTTTGTATGCTTTCCAAAGCGTAAACGGTATTTCGGACATGAACTACTTCTGTCTTTTCCTCTCACCATCCCCACACTCATGTTCTTTCGTGCATTTATGCGAGTCTAAATTATTTTCAGCATTTTGTTAGCACGCTAGAGCTGCGGACCTAGATCAGGTTTCCAGTTTTGCCCCAGATTTCCCATGTAATATTGGGCAACACGGGGTGCAGCTCCACCCCTCCTTCCCAAAGGAGCGGAAGGATTAGATGATCTGGCACCTTTTAGCTGACTCAAATCCTCTGATAAGGGCTCTGGAAATTCATTAAATGAAAAGCAAAAAGGAACTGAAGTCAGTACTTCAAGGTGACCTTGGTCTCTTCCACAGAAGGTATTTCCATTTATCCTCCCCATACCGTTCCCATGACAGCTCGCGTGGGCAGAATGGCAATAATTCCTCCATTACCCAAAGGCAAGGGCTGCCCTGAGGTGGTGGTGCCCAGGAGGCACCTCAGGGGAAAAGGGACAGTGACTGGAAGAAGCCCCACACACAGGACAGTGCACAAGCCCGTACTGCCGCCCACGAGCCACTCTCCCAGTGCCACCCTGAAGCTTCACGCTGCCCAGGTCTCCTGCGGGAGCTCCACAGGTGGCAGGTTCAGACTTTCAACCCCTTGTTAAGCCCTCCCTGCTCGTTGATGACTTTTTGGCTAGTTCAGGCAGGCCCTTGGGGAGCTCAGGACCAGCGATTCATCTCACTGTCTGTGCCAACAATTTTGGCTTTTGATTGCAGGTTCTTTTGATTGCTGCTTCCCTCTAATAAGACAATCCTGACTTCTGTGCAGCTCGCCCCCAGTCAAGAAGGGAGCAGGTTACCTGGCTAGCGTTCCTGCACGCCGGTGGCCACAAGCCACGCCAGCTGCAAACTCCTTTCCAACCCAGTTGTTAACAGCGGGTTTAAAGAAAACAAAAAAGACACCTAAACGCGCCCTGAGACAGACAGCGAGGAATTTCGGGCTGTCCAGTTATCACTTCTTCAGCCACCCGCCGGGGGGGAGCCCCGGGCCCCGCAGCCAGCCCACCGGCACCGGGGGGACCCCGGCCCCCTCCGCCTCTCCTCGCCCGCAAGCCCCGCCGCTCGCCCAGCCCGGCTGCCTTCCCTCCGGCCGAGGGGTCCCCGCACAGCGGGACGGGGGTGGCCCCCGGCAACCCCCCCCTCGCCCTCCGCCTTCCTCCCGCCCCACCGCTGCGGCATCCCCCCTTCGCAGCCCGCACGGGGGGAGTCCCGTCCCGTCCCGTCCCGTCCCGTCCCGTCCCGTCCCGTCCCGTCCCTCACCGTCGGTCTGGGCTCCGCTCGGCTCGGCTCGTCTCAGCCCCGCCGCGGCCCCGCAGCTCCTTAAAGAGCCGGGGCGGAGCCATGCGGGGCCCGGCCCCGCTCCCCACCGCCCACGTCCCCACCCGCGGGGCCTGAGCTCGGCCCCACGGACACCCCCGCCCGTGAAGGTGCGAGGGAGCCGGCGGTGGGACCCGGCCGTGGCCACCCCGAGAGGCGGAAAGGCGACAGGAGGTATCCCACCCCGACGGCAGCCTCAGACTGGACCACCAGCCTCTGATTTCACTCATTTTTTAGGACTTTTCTTTAAGTGCTTGCCTTCTTCACTGCCCACACGCGGCCCCACAGTCGCGTTTCACCACGACATTCACCGGGGTGGGTGCGTAGGGCTCAGACATGGGTTTCTCCAGGGGTGAGACAAGGTGCTGGGGTGGGACCAGGCGAGTGGGAGCCCGCAGGCACCTGGAGAGGAATTGGCACCGTTGCTCCAGCGTGAACTCATTAGGAAGGACTTTAATTATTTTCCCAGCAATTAGGCCTGTCCACAGCAGCCAGTTCACGCTGTAGGAAAGATGTGGGTGCTCCAGCTGCCTTCTCCCAGCTCCGCAGGGCCGTCGTGTGCCAGCTGGCTGGGTGCAGCGTTGTGCACGGAGCTCCTTGTGCTTAGAGGGAGATGCAGGGTTATCTCCTCCTCTTTCTTAATCAAATACCAAATCAGTTACTCATTACCTGTGCGACTGCCAGGTTGCTCTGTTTCAGCAGAACAACTTCTCCCTCCACACCAGAGATGAAGCCCGGCGAGCTGGGGAATAAAACAAGGAAAGCTGAGGTTTCAAATATAATCAGATTTAATAGAATAAGATTAAATAATTAACATTAATAATACTAAATAACCAAAATTGAATCTGATAGCAATATGAAATATACGAGGTTTACATTCAGCCCATTCTATCAGCAGGAAGCTGTGCACTCCCAGCCGTGGAGTTGGATGTTGGATGCTGTGAGCCCTACAGGTTCAGGAGGAAGGGAAGGGCTCAGGGGTCTGGCACCAGGGGAAGAAGTTCTCAGGATCAAAGCCATCAAGGAAGAGAGAAAACTCCTCGGCAGACTTTCTAATCTACATTGAATGTGACGTTCATAGTATGAAATAATTCTGTTGGCCATCTTGGGTCAAATGTCCAGGTCTCACTCCTTGTCCCCACACTTGGCTTGAAAATACTGAGCCTTTGAAACCTGCATACCATAGCTGCCTCTAAAGTAAATATTTTCACAGATTCAGACAATAGTCTTCTAAAAATTCAGTTTCCCCAAGCATTAGAAGAGACCTTACTGAAAAGTAAAATTGCTGAAAGAGAAATTAATCCTGTGTTGCTCAAACCAGGACACTTCCCATTTATGGTTTGGGTTTTTTTGGGGTTTTTTTTAGTTTTTTTATTGTGCACAAATTGTGCAGATCCCAGAGCCCACCTCCCCAGGCAATGCCCAGTATCAGTTCCTGTGGAACATGGTGGCGTGAGCAAGAGCAAGAATCTGACCTCAAGCATCATAGCAAAAATTTTAGTCTGGGTTTTGGGGGAAGGGAGCACAACAAGAAGCAGAAGTGTTAGTGACTGTTGTTTCACGACTTGGAGGTTACGTGAAGGGAGAGGATCTCTCCAAGTCTGACAAAGAAGAGGGGAATGAGTCAGAGCAGGCTGACTCCATCTATTGCGCGAAATGCCTGTGCTCTCTTGTCCAACCTGTCCTGCTCCCAGCCCTGTTGCAACTATACGTGATGATGCTAAGTTATTTACCCTGTCTCCTCAGGTAGCCTCCAAAGTTGTTAGATTTTCCCTTTTGATAACGTTTCCTACAGACTATAAAAAAAATAAACGTCAGAGATCCCCAAGGGAAGAGAATAGTTTTGCAGTTCTGGTGAGATCTGACTGTACTCAAAGAAAGGGAATTCTCACCGTGACTAAGGGGCCACGCGGGTGAGAAATAAAACACTCTTCCATGGTGAGGCACTGCAAAATGAGCTAGAAGAGAGTATGACATCCAAGAATTAATCTTCTCATGCCTAATATTTAGTCAGTCTGTCAGAAGAGAAACTATGAGGGACAGTCATAAATATGTTGGTAAGTCCATGACTGCAGGAACAATATTAAGGAATACATTACTGTGACACTAAGGAACAAGACCTTGTAATAAAAAAAAAAAAAACAAAAAAAAAACAAGAGCAAGAATGAAAAATTTCACCACATACTGTAATAAATTACTGTGACACAAAAGAAAAAAACCTTTTAAAAAAAAAAAAAAAAAAAAAAAAACAAGAGCAAGAATGAAAAATTTCACCACATACTGTATATCTATGATAATGACTATTTCTATCAATACATTTTATAAATACACTTCCAAGTATGCACATATATATTTGTTATCTGTAACTATATACTTATTTTATATATAGATAGAAATATACATGCTCTGTCTCCTCAGTAGATCTCTTCTTCTCTGTCTTTCCTGAGGGCATAGTTCAGAATTTTTTAAAGATAAAGCCTGCATCTGACCCTGCCACATTCCCCCTCACTGCCCTGCACTCCTTCACCCAGTTACCCCGTGCCTCCTTCTTATTGCCTGAGCAGCCCCGCTCCCCCCTTCACCTTCCTCCTGACACAGCCCCATCCTTCCCCAGCTTCCTGCCTAACACCTGCTGTAAATTCCTCTTTCCATCTCACTTCCCCAAAATCTCAGATGTTGCCTCTTCTCACAGTCCTGGGGAGGAGCTCCCACCTAACCACGGCGCCAGGTCCCTGCAGGCAGCTGGGTGCCTGCAGCCAGCTTTTTGCCTGGCTTCTACCACTCTGAGCTCAGCAGCTTGTAATTAGGAGAGCTTATTTTGTGAGAAACAGCATTCAAGTGTGTAAACAGCTCCCGTTCTTTTCCCTGGATGATTCCACAGCTCTGTGAGCGAGGAGGTGTGCCTCTGTTTTCTTCTGCTTCCTTGGCCATGGGAAAGCCCACAGGCTGTACACAAAACCAGTTCTCCTTTCACTTGTAAAATTGACCCAAAGCATGTTTGTCACCTCAGAAAATAATTCTCGAGGTTTTACCTATGCCATAATTTTATGTAAAAGTTGTTTTCTATGTTTTGGGGAGCTGAGTAAATCATCGGCTTGTCTGACCTAGTTACTTCTCAAAACACTTGTCGCACATCAGTGTCCTCGGGCCTTTTACATCCACTAAATACCTTCCACTCACCTGGGATTATCTTATCCTCGTTTGATCTCCTAAACATGGTTCCACCTGTTTGCTTACGGCAAAGTCAATCTCCTTGCTCTGCTGGTAATCCTTGCTGTTATTTCATGAAAGTTTGTTCTAGATAGTCCAGATTTTACTTGGCAGGGGGTTTAGTCATATTCTGACATCAGTTTTGTCAGACCTAGTTTTATCCAAATACTGCTACTACAGATAGAGCTTCCTTAATTATGTTCTTGACAGAGCATGATTTAGCTGTTTTTCCCATTACAAAAGATTGTTTTAAAGCTAGCATGAGAGCTTATCATTTACCAGCCTTTGAGGTCAGCCTCCTCACAGTGGTTCTTGTGGTGCCTTGGTTAATTTCTCACTGGCCAATCCCCAGATTTGCCCCTAGTCAAGAGAATTTTTGAGTGCACTCTATGCAGTATCAGCTAGTGAAAAATTAATTAATGCCCAGAGTTACCAAGATTTGCCCTATCTTAGAAGGGCATATGTGTTTAGCTAATTTCCTGATCTAAATATTTGTGCATCTCAGTGGTACTGTGTGTTTATTCTACCATAAATATAACAATGATCAATCAATGAAGTTTGCACAAATTAATAAAAATACAGCAGACTATTCTGGAATTTACCAGAGCTGTGATTTTTTTGAATCAGCTGTTTAAACCCCAAGTGCAGAACTGGGAGACATTCAGTATGAGAAAGCTGTGTTTTCCATGCTCATTGATTTCTTTATCAGTGGTCAAATTTATAAATTATTTTACTCCCAGGAAATTTTAATTCTAGGAAGAATCCTTATTTGCCTAGTGATTGTAAGAAATAGCTATTTGCATGCCCAATAAACAACATGATCTAAGCTAGCATAATTTTATGAAACATATAAATAGTTTCATTTTGACCTACATCTTTATATCAGTGATGCTTCTCAATACAGAAATCGACAGTCAGTTCTCTGACCCTATTCGAAATCTACCCAGATCTTCCTTTTTATAGAGCAGTCATTTTTTTAATACTATACCTCATGATATTAGATTCCTAAATGTAGGGACTGATACTGGAGAGTTCTCTGCTATCCAGATTTAAAACTAAGAAATGCAGAAGAATTAAATTTTTAATTTAAAGAGCTTGCTTTGTTCTAAGTCACGGCCAAGTGAGATGCGTTTCTAGGGACGGCCATGACCCAGTGCTCAGGGTCTGGGTGGATGGGGGAGGTGGGTACCACTCACTATTTGGGATGCTGCTGATGTAGTTCCCCATGGAGACATACAAGCCCTCTCCTGCCTGGCATGCCCCAAGCATGCCTCAGTGGGGCCAAGATGTAGACCGATATCTGTCTTCCAGGGTCTCACTTCCCTGTGGGCTTTGCTTTAAGGGCTCTGAGCAGAAGTGGAGGCACCTGTGGGGCTGACCACTGCTGAAAGTATGGATGCTGGTTGAATTTTAAGGAGACCAAGAAATGGGTTTTGACTCAGAGCCTCTCTGACCCCTCTCCAGCTCAGCAAAGCTTTCTGGACCCAGTGTGTTCCTGGTCCCCCAGGGGGATGGATCTGGAGAGCTCCCATTCATTACCAAGGTCATGCATGCAATGCTTCAGCTGGATGTGAGGTTTATCTAAACCCCATAAATATGAAAAAAATGCACCGTTTGCATCTAAGCATAAGTACATGTAGCGAGGTAAAGCACATGTAGGCTGCTGGTGCTGATGGTATCAGGCAACAGCACTGCAAAAACCCAGCAAAACATTGGAAGTTATTCTATTCAAGTTCTGAGGTTTTGAACAGAGGTTTCTGAAAAGCCTAGCAAAACATGAGCTCTATTTCAGGTGCCAGCTCAGCAGAATACTAATACCTGGATTAGTAATGATGTCACTTCCCT